CTCCATAAATGTTTTTTTTCTCTTTACAAATGCCTCTTGTAAACTCCCTGGTGTTGCTGTGAACTTTGGAAGGGTTTTGGGGTGGGGGGGGGGGGAAACCTTTTAAGAATACGCAGAGTTTAGGGGTGTGGAGGCTGATAACTTTAGCGGGGAGCTCCCATTGGCCCCTGCTAACCCAGATCAGATGCTTAGGCATACCTGTAGACACTGTTGTAGTCTTCTCCTTTGAAAAGTCAGATACAGCTGGGTAGTCTGAGGTTTCTGTTGAGGTTTCTGTTTCTGATACAAGAGGCAGAAATTCACTCACCTAATTGCAAGAAAGTCACAGATGAATTTTGTTCTACCACTTTTTGCTGTTATAGTAACCCAAAGTCTGGCCTTTCTCATTCTAAGAATTCTTACATTCTTTTATGCTAACTAAAACAATATCCTTTTGCAGATAGGCTTGCATGCACATGTATTTGTAAACTCTAAACCCCGACTCCCTTTGGATTAAATGATCTATGATCTGACATTGTGGGTGTGGGGTGATCGGAGAGTGCCTGCTCTGAAGCCATCTGGTTCCCGTTCTCTCAGTACTTGTTCACTGCTTTGTTACCTTCACATCTCTAGACATCTCTTAATGGCATTAGGAAAGTCTTTAATGGTTTTATTTCTATTAAAGTGCTTTATCTGATCAGCAGTACTACAAAAGAATCATTGGCCCAGCATGTTTCCCCTTCTATTTCCTTACGATTATTGTTTTTGTGTATGGTATATACATCCAAATGTCAAGTCTTGGTTATTCTCTTCCATACTACCTCTACTGTATTTTCAGTTTCCTCACTACCCTTATAAAAACAATGACCAGTCATGGTTCTGGAGTCTTTTCTCTCCTAACTTGACATCAGAACACTAGGTATATGATATATGAAAATTAGTTCTGTCATTGTCTTAGGAGGTAAGAATAAGCTCTGGAAAAACGACTGTTGGGGATTTTTCTGTGCAAAATCATGTGGGGATTAAGAGAGAAAATCAATAGCAGTTGATACAATAGTAAATGTCAAGTCTGCTAACCTAGAGACTTGACTAATTTAGAATTTAATCCATAGCATAATTCCCTCCAATGACTATCTTCTAAGAATTAAGACTGCCATGTAACAGCCAGCCACCAAAAAAAAGATTATCAGGTAAGAATCAAATGGTTTGCTTGTAGTGGAAGAAATAGAAGGAATGTGCAAACTAATTTACTTCAAAAGCAATACCACTTAATCTGTATTCACCTCAGGTTTGGATTTCCTTACTGGATTTCTAGGACACCTCTTCCTCATAATTTAATGGAAGGCATGAATTCCTACTCTTAATGATACTTAAAGAATCATAAATGTGTATATACATTTAGAACTATTACATGGTATGGAAGAATGCTTTCAGGAGGTTTTGAGGTCTTGTCAGCTGTCAACTGCTGTGGGCACATCTGCATCTAATATGGGGAAGGACATTTGTAAACAATTCTAATATAGGAAAAAATGCCATGTGGGGAAAAAAGTGAAAAACAGTATCCTTTTCCCCAGTTTTCAATTACAGGTTGCTGTATAAATGAAGCGTGCGTATATTACGTGAGCTGTGAGATTTACCTGAAAACAGCTTTTTGCCTCATTATCTTTCTTTTCTTCTAGGGTTAAGTTTGCAAAATCTGTTTCAGCAATACTGATATCACTGGTGCTTACTAAAGTAAGTTCTGGTTCTTCCATTATACCATGGCCAGTTTCTGTTTCCTGTTCAGTAGTTAAAAAGGAAACCATGTGAAATAGCCTTAAAACATACAAAATGCAGAAAAGCAAATAAATATTCATTATGGAAGACAAAGACCAACAGATCAGATTCCCCAGGGGTACTCCCAACCCCAGCATCCACTTGTAGAAACACAGGAGAGGATTTTAGGGATGGAGTGAAACAGTGTAATTGTCTGAAAATACTGCAAGGATTACAAACCTAAATGATTGTAGGGCTAGGCAGGTAATATACAGATTGATCGGGGGCTGTGTAGAACTGGAGGGCATATCCTATAAGCAAGCAGTGGCTATTGAGTTGCAGCCAAATGAAGTCTGCTGCTGCCAAATTTTTCAAAGGAAATTCAATAAGAATTTAAAAACATGAAATACAAGTGGCCAAATAAAACACATCTGAGATATAGATGTAGCCCTTTATTTTTAATCTGTGGAAGGACAAACTTCACATAATGTTAGAACGTGAAAACTGTCCAGTTGACGAATTGTAATTATAACTTCCTTGTTAGGGACAATGTTCTAATATTTACTCTAAAAATGGATTAATTCATTGCAGTGAGTGCAGTGAGGCTCAACACTGAAAATATTGAAACACAGGCAGAGCCACCATTTCTCAGATAAGCTAGAGAAAGGATACCTGATGAATAGGAAAAAGATCTTGGCAAAATTAAGAGTATCACTTTCAGAATTTGGAGTTTTCTCATTCATTTCTTTGGAGATTTCCAATGATCACAAGCTTGATTATCAGCATCACATTCTCCCTTTTCTTTCTTTTTTTTTAAATAAAGATGACCGGTAAGGGGATCTTAACCCTTGACTTGGTGGTGTCAGCACCACGCTCTCCCAAGTGAGCCATAGGCCGACCCCACAAGCTTAAGATAGGAAGTATTTTTGTTGCTTCTTTTACATTTTGCTTCCAGTTTTTCCTGAAACATAAATGCTAACTTACCCAGATTGGAATAGAGGTCTGTAATGGAAAGGATCCAGAACTTACAAAGAGCTCTGATTGTGGTAACTGAGATAGGTTTCTTAGGATCTTTGGAGTTTCAGTTTTAGTTGAATTCTCAAAATATTTTTCATTTTGAGTAGTTAATGGTATCTGAACTGAAGTTCCCATCTCCACTGTTCTTACACATAATTGAGAGTCAGTTTCCTCTACATGTGGATTTATATCTAAAACCCTACAACTTTCATTTTTTTCATCTTTGTTGAGTCCTTCACATTGTAACACTGTTACAACCCCTGTCTTTGATAGTTGTTCAAAGTTCAGCCTTTCTTTTCTGCTTTCCAGTTCGTGTTTTATTGAAGACTCACTAGAGGTAGAACCACATGGAGTGCTATGCTGTCCATGTAACTGATCAAATGCATTGGTCTCATCAGATGAACTGCAGACTGAACTTAAATTTCCTACAGAGAGCTGGAAATGGACACTTTTTTTCTTATTTTGTAATATTGCAGTCTGTTCTTCAGAGGAGCAGTTCTGATTTTCCATGCCTTGGTAAGAATCTCTTCTTTCAATGCTAAAAATACTTGGTAGATCGGCATGCTCGCTCCCCTCCTGTGAAGAAAATTCTGGCAGAAGCTGTTGAAAAGTCTGGTCACATCCTGCATTAAGAAGTTTTTTAAAAAAATCAGTTAATCGTTATTATACATTGTTAAGACTTGAATGTAGCTAACAGTCTCTAATAGTTTCTGAGTAAACTACAAATAATAAAGTTAGATTACTTCCTATAATTTTAGGAGTATAAATTGACGTATATAAACATGAAAGAGAGCCAGCCCGTGGCTCACTCGGGAGAGTGTGGTGCTGATAACACCAAGGCCACGGGTTCAGATCCTATATAGGGATGGCCGGTTAGCTCACTGGGTGAGCATGGTGCTGACAAAACCAAGACAAGGGTTAAGATCCCCTTACTGGTCATTTAAAAAAATTTTTTTTAAAAACCCGAAAGATAGGGATGGTCATAGTGATTTTCGAACTTCATAGCTCACACCATGTATTTTCTTTTCTAATACAGCTTAATAAAGGATGTTTCTCTCCCATCAGAGAACTGAATATTTTAATAACAGAAGGACTGAGAACAAAATGTATCTCATATAATATATATGTAGATATATATTTGTGTGTGTACAGCATATATATACACTCGTGTCACTTAATGATTGGGATACATGAGAAATGCATTAGGTGATTTTGGTATGTGAATATCACCCAATGTACTTACACAAACCCAGATGGTATGGCTTACTATACAGCTTAGCCTGTTGCTCCTACCACCATTGTATATGCAGTCCGTCATTGACCGAAATGTCATTATGTAGTGCATGACTGTGTGTGTGTGCATATAATTTGTACCAAAAAATCTAGAAGAAAATTATAGGGTTGAGGTAGGGAAGCTGATGAACAAGTGGCAATATTTTTTGCTTTTTATTTTATAAAATTCAATATTGTAAAAATAAAAACAGCATATATGAAGGTGCTTCAAAAAGTTCATGGGAAGATTTGCATTATCTTTTAATTCTATTTTTCCATGAACTTTTTGAAGTATTCCTGTATAACTTCTGTTATTTAAATATACAAAACTTGTAACACTGGGGACAGCGGTCAGGATGAGTGGAGACAAACCAAGAGGTGCTAGGCACAATTTCCAAGGAAATGGATGTAAAGAACCATGTAAAATGTATTGGGTTTTATTTAACTTTTTCTAACTTATACATACCCTCAATAATATTTTCTGTAGCAAAGCTCTGAGCTGCACCATGAGTCAAGGTAGGGTCAGGTTGCTGATTCAGGCTTGTGTTAAGAGGAGAATGCAGGCTGGTCCTCCTAAGCACTGTAAAAGAAACTGTACTTTTGGATGATACAGTAGCACAGTAGCTTTCAGATGAAGAATCTGAGTTCTGACAGAAAACAACAGGGAAATACTGATTTTGTAGTACCAGTTGAATCAGTAATCACTACGTCCCTTTGATATTGTACTTCCTTAATTTCCACTTTATTATCAACACAGTAATATATTGCTTACTAAGAACCAATTCTTCCCTTTCAGTCTTGAATCAGTAATCACTACGTCCCTTTGATATTGTACTTCCTTAATTTCCACTTTATTATCATCACAGTAATATATTGCTTACTAAGAACCAATTCTTCCCTTTCAGTCAATATGAAAGACTTAAAAAATAAGTCGTGAATTAACCAGGAGTTTAGAACATGAGAATTTTCTGGTAAGCAGGACCTATGTAGTACAGCCTGGGGTATCAGGATGTCAGGCTGTAGAAATGTAATGACCTAGATTTGAATCTTGGCTCCTTTACTGTGTAGGAAGAGACTATTTAAATTTTACAAATTCATATTTATCTGATTAAATATATTACATAGAAGTTCTCAAGCCTTTTATGGGGTCAGATGCACTAGCTGGAGATAAGGCTAACAGAACAAAATTCTAATGGAGCTGTTTTCAATACTGGTTCCACATCAGAATCACTTGGGGAGCTTCAAAAAACCCACAATATTCTGATTCTGATTTAATTGGCCTAAGGATTGTAGCCTAGGCATTGGGATTTTTAAAAGATTTCCACATGATTCTAATAAGGTTAAGAATCAAGGTTAAGAACCATTGTTCTACCAGAAGAAAAGATTTAAAACTGTTCTTGGATATTCACTGTAATGGAGCATCTACTTTAAAATACCTGGTAAGGATCTCTGTTGTCTTGGGAAATCCCAGAGGATGATGATAAATCAAAATCTGGATGTGGTTCTAAGGGTTTAAACAGCTGACGATGCAAATTTGGAAAAATGTGCTCCAATTCTGGAAAGTCGAGCTCAACTGTTGGAATTTTGAGGGGAAAAAAGATAAACTTATTTTAAAACGTAAATCCTAGAAAAGGAGTACTAAAAACATATTCATAAAAGTATATTTTAGTTAACTCCAATGCAACAAAATTATTTCCATTTTTTCATGATCAGCAGATGCTTTCAAATTAAGTCCAGTTGTGATTGTTTCCAAAGAACAAAAAAATAAGGATCCTTTGAGTCTATTGTCAAATATAAATTTCCATTTCTACCAACTCCAAAGCCTTACGAGGTTAACTGGAAGTAACACGCCAAATATGTTCATTGTTTGCTACAAGCCTTGTTCTCAGCTCACTTCCAAATCAATGATGAGAATAAAGAAAAGCTCACTGTATTCAGTGCTACTGTGGGTCAGGCATTGTATTTTACGTACACTATTTCATTTAATCTCCAACATCCTTCTTTTATGGAAAACGAAAGAGTAACTTGCTCATGGTTTTACAGCTAGAAAATTGTCAAACTATGACTTGGATCCAGGTCTGTCTGATTTCTGAGCTCTTGCTTTCCATATTGGCAATACTGCTTCAGCTGTAATAGCTACCTTTGCAATGGTAAACGAAGACTTGCTAATTTCCTCTACATGTTCTTCAGTGTAATTGGTTCCATTTCCCCTCTCTCACTAAATGCCCCTCAATATTTTCTGTGGTATAACTGTGCTCAGCAGCCCATAAAAATATGAAGCTCAAACAATCACTTCTTAAAAAGGATGAAAGGTGAAAAGTCAAAACAATCGTATTTGTTTAAAATAATTTTACCCTGCAAATCTGTTTTTTCAGGTATCAAATTTGCTTCATTTATGTACTCGTCTATGATCTGCTGAAAGTGTATGCTACCAGATGTAAATTCTCCTGCAGGCAACAGAGATTTATGAATGTCTGAAGAGATCTGCTGTTGATAAACAACTTGAGTTGAAGGAAACATAGGACTTAAAATACCTGTTTCCTTTTCTTTACCGGTGCTTGATTCTTGTTCCCTGTCATCCATGTGCTCTGGAAAAGACTCTGAAAATTGAGTTTAATGAAAATATTTAATTGACCTTAACACTTTTAATGGCTGAGTACTTCCTTAGAGACATATTTTGGTATGGAGGCATGGCAATATACAAGTATATTGCTGAGAGATCAATGCAACCAAAAAGTTTGCTCACATAGATTTTCATTGAATAAGAGAATAGCAAATACTTCTCAAAGTGTTGTTGGAGATCCACAGCATATTCCTGTGACTTCTGGTCATGTTTAGAATACCATACTGTCTAATATTCTATCGGGCATGGATACTTTTGAGATTTAAAGAAACAATACCCGCTGCACCCCCCCCTCCTGCCACGAATGGTAGAAAAAGCAATGCTTCCTCCCACAACTGTACTGAAACTTAATTGGTCTTTCAATTTATTTACAAACATTTTGACATTGTTACCTGGATCTGTAAGGCTCAAATCTGTGTTCTGATAACTTAAAAAGCTCCCAGTGGAAACAGTTTCTGAAGATAATGGCTCATGAGAAATCTCTTGTGTTTCAGCCTAGATATTAAGGGAATATTAGACCATGACGTCAGAACTAATATCTAGAAAAACCCCCAATAACCAACCTCAGCAGTTGTCAATTCTGAGCTCAGGTCAAGTGTAGAAATCTTCATAATTACAAATGTCAGTAGTAAAACCTTTTCATCATTGCTCAGAAATGATTAGCCTTTCATGCACACACACACCCTCCCCAAGCTCGCTCATCCCTCAGGCAGGTCCTCTGTTCTTCACTGTCATCTTCATAAACATGCACACACACACACACACACACACACAGCAGACATAAGCCTTTTGTTCTACATTATTTTATAGTTTTGCTTCTCAGAACTATAGAGATCATGCATCAGGTAGACTATAGGGTCTTCTGATGCTCAGATTTGGCTATTTTCATCATTGATCCACTTCAGTAAGAGCAGATCTCAGAGAACACAGACTTTAATATTTGACAACTTTGGTAAACAAAGCAAAAAAGAATATTAAGCCAAATAGGTGTAAAAATTTAGTAAACATTAAGACATTACTAACCTTATTATCTGGCTTTACAGCTGAACCAAGATATATATGCTCTTCTTCCTCCACAGCATAACTTTGATTCTCAACAGACTCCTTGACCTTGACTGAAAAATGGATTTTGTAGTTCAAATTGGAAAAAAAAGTTTGGATTAGGACAAATCAAATTCCTAGCACCAGATGGCACCATTCCCTTCTTTCCTACAGTTCACTTTGATATTTTGCTTCTCAAAGTTGCCTTATCTTAGACCAAAGAAAAAATTTATTATTTGTTAAAAACATTCACTAGTCAGCACAATATACTTTCTTCAGGAAAACTGCAGTTATTGTTATTCTGTAAGTAAAATCATGTAAAAAAAATATTTGAATTCTAGGTCTAAAACCTAGAAAAGAGACAATGTGATAGGAAATGCTTTGTCATTATTTTAAGTGGGAAAGCAAAAATATTCAGTCATAAATACAATATGATCTCAAAGATGAGCAAAATGCATATAAAAAACAATAAAAATACCAAAGTGTAACCAGAGGTTGCTTATGATTGGTAGCACAAAGAGTGATTTTTATTTATACCTTTCAGTGCTTTCTAAATTCACAATGAGTACATATTGCTTTTATTATGACTTATCATTCCTAATTATATTTGACTTACTAAAACATAAAAATTATACTTTTTGTCTCATATTAATAACTCGGGTATTCTGAGGTTGTTTTTTTTTTTCTTATTCCAAATAGCAACATTTGTGAGAAAGCTGGCCAAGGCATATGGTAGTCTGTACCTCTGAAACAGAATAAAATTAAAACTGCTCCACTGAACCTAAAAAAAATTTCTGCGTTATTATCACTATGATATTATTAAAAGATATCATGCACATTAAAGGTATGTTAATGTGTACAAAATATCTTTTAAACAGTAACTCAAGTACACAAACATAAACACGTACATATCTATCTGTATATGTGTGTGTATATATATATATATATATTTATTCATAATATCTATATCATGGTTAATGAAGTAGAAGCAAAGCTAATACCAAATATTACTTGTCTTTAAGTACAATTTTTTACTTTATCCTATTACAGTTCATTTAAAAATATTTTATTGTGTCATAACTAATTTAACTGTCATTTGATTGCTTCTACATACTAAATTTTAAATAAAGAAAATAAGAAAAGGTAAAACTTTAAAGTGAGGTTATTTTTTTTTTTTTCCTTTTTGTCTTTTTTCGTGACCGGCAACGGATCGCAACCCTCAGTGTTGCGCCCGTACCGGACCGGGACCGGCAACGGGATCGCAACCCTCGGTGTTGCTCCCGCACCTCGCTCAGCCAGTGAGCGGCCGGTCTGCTTGTGGGATCCGAACCCTCGGCGGGAGCGCTGCCGTGCTTCCCAAGCAGCGCACTATAGCAGTGCGCCACCGGGCCGGCCCTATTTTTTTTTGTTTTTTTAAGCAGCTTGTTTTAAAAGCTAGTTTGGAGATGAGAAGCTAACCTGAGGTTTTTCTATTCAATTTAACATAATTCTTTACTGTTAAACCTAGAAGATTCCCCCCCAGAGGAGAGATGAGTGAATAGGGCAGCATTTGGATAGTGAATAAAGAGAAAAATAAAAGTGAGAGAAAGGAGCAAAGTCGGAGTTATTTAAGATGTTGAAAAATTCAATAAGGTGAGTCCCTGAAAGGAGCGCTGCCGCGCTTCCCAAGCGGCGCACTATAGCAGTGCGCCACCGGGCCGGCCCTATTTTTTTTTGTTTTTTTAAGCAGCTTGTTTTAAAAGCTAGTTTGGAGATGAGAAGCTAACCTGAGGTTTTTCTATTCAATTTAACATAATTCTTTACTGTTAAACCTAGAAGATTCCCCCCCAGAGGAGAGATGAGTGAATAGGGCAGCATTTGGATAGTGAATAAAGAGAAAAATAAAAGTGAGAGAAAGGAGCAAAGTCGGAGTTATTTAAGATGTTGAAAAATTCAATAAGGTGAGTCCCTGAAAGTCAGGAGAGAAACAAGTGTCATCAGTTCAGAAATGGTTCACTGATAATAGGGACCCACTTTCTCTAAAAAGGAAAACTAACATCATGAAGCAACACCTTCAACAGTTTTTTTCTGATTCCATGCAAGAAGGCATCATTTCCTGCTTCCCTACAAAACAAAGGGTATAGAGCTTCAAGTTAATGATTCTACCTAAAAAGCTAGTAAGAAATTGAGGTGGAACGTGTTGAGGACATGCATAAAGCGGTAGGAAGGAAATGGAGAAGTAATAAAACTAAAACCTGTCTGAAATAAAACAATCTGAATCTGAGAAAGAAAATCAGGCCCTGAGAGCCAGGAGCTGACCTGGCACTATCAGCTAGGCCTTCATGTTCTCCTGTTAAACATCAACAATTTCATGAAATGCCAATATTAGAAAAGGACACTCTATGACCATGATGGAAGGAAGACAAAAACCAGACCCCTTATAATCATATCTGAACATAGATAAAACTATGACTATCGTCCAAACCACAAAAAATGACCAAGTATTCCCTTATCCTGGCTAATATGAGTGACTGCTGTTGCTTTACCAGTTATAGCTTTCACCTCATTCCATTTCTCCCACCTTCTGGATAAGAATGTTTTAGGTACCCAATAATAGAATTACCCTTGCTTCTTGACAACATCCAATACTAATAAAGAAAGCTGTTACCTTGAACCCTTCCCCAAATTATCTGATACAAGCCCAAATCCTATAATAAATCCTTTATAATACCCTTTTACACTGAGACACCTCACTGTTGCCCATGTTGTGAATTCCCTTTCACTACAACAGGTCAGAACAACACCCAAGCTTTGATCAATTACAGGTGTGTTCCTGGTAGTCTTTGGCTAGAGGATATCAAAAGTTAGAATAAGAAAGGAGGTACAAGTATCCACTGGCTAAATCTAAAAGAATAATGTAACAGTTTTATTTTAAGATGTCAAAATTTATAATTCACTGGAAATTATACCCTTTACAGTTATTTCAATCTACAATGTAAAAAGGAGATATTAAAGTCAATTTTATCTATAAACCCTCAAGAGAATAGGTATCTCTCATTTCTTTATTAAATTATAGATACAACTAAGATATCAATTATCTAAGTGTATGTGACAGCTAAAATAAAAGGAAATCTGATTAGAAAGGTAACTTCCTAAAAGTTTCCTAACAACTAATAAAGCAGTACTAGAATCATGCTGTGTGGAGCCAGTAAGCAATATTACACATAATACAGCTTATAAAAAATGCATACATACATAACTTCAAAAGCGAGAAAAGTAACACTGGCTGTATTTGGGTGGCAGGATTAAGTGATCTAAAGATTTTTCTTTGTAATTCTCTTTATTTTCCAAATACTTAAATAAAAATAAAGCAGATCATTTAGAATGCCCACAGATAAAATTTTTAGAATATTTAACAGTATTTAATTAAATGTGGATTCTTACAAATAGACTTAAATACAAAATTTGTAGATGCTGCCAATTGTATAAAACTCATACCTTCTTATACTTCTTACTAGTATTTATTTAATAAAACAATTTAAAAGCAAAATTACTTATTTTCTAAATTAAATTCATTCCCCTCATTCAACTTTTTGTGTACAGAAATAATACACGCCTCTTGTAAAAACAAAAAAACCTATAAAATTTAAACATGTAAAATAGAGAGCTTCCAGTCAAGATGGAGGAATAGACAGTCCCCAGGGTCACTCTCTCCCACAAATCAACCAATTTACAACTATAAAAATGTAACATCAGCCAAGCTGGGGCCGCTGGAGCTCAGGGGAAAAGGAGGAGAGACCTATAGAGTTCATGAAGGTGGGAGAAAACATGATGAGAGAAAGAAAAAACTGCTCTGAGGATTTTAGGCCGTGACTGCTTTAAAGCTCAAGCTACTGAGCACATGGAGCAGGAGCCGGCAGAAGCCACAGATGTGCCATTCAGATGGAGTTACTTGGAGGCAGCAGGGGAGAAGAGAGCCTTGGTGGCCCCCAGGACAGAAAGACCACTAATAGGGTTCCCGTGGATCCACGCAAGAGCAAGGAGCCAGAACACCTGAAAAAGGGGAGCCATTCAGAGGCCGGTGAGTCACTGCAAGGGACTGGCGCAGGGCCTGCCCCATGGGAAGTGTTTGGAGCACGGGTGGCGGGGGAGACGGGCCCACCAGGAGAACACTGGGACACAGCAAGGACAGCCGATCCACCCCCAATCAGCACAGGACCACTCCAAGGAGACTGGTCAGGAATGCAGAATTGCATGGGGTGCAGTTTGATGACAAAACTCAGACCCAGATCAGAGTTTCTACACAACCCTGGTGCACTGGGTCCCTGGAGAGCCAGAGGTACCTATAAGGTCAACCCTTAAACCTGGAGCTTCACAAAAAGCCTTCCCTAGAAACAGCAGCAAAGCAGCAACTTAGCTCAACCACACAGCTCAAGTACTGGTTCCCACAGGAAGTTCCCCCATTTTAGAAGTAAGCAAACGACAAAAAATTAGTTCCAGCCCAGGCACACCACTGGTGCCTTGGGGCCTGCCAGGAGACATGAGGCTGGAGCTGGGGACCAGACTGCACTCCCACAACCAGGCATACTGCCAGTGCCTCAGGGCCCGCCCAGGGCATGAAGAAGGGGACTGGACCCCCCTCCCACAACTAGGCACACTGCCAGCACAAAGGAGCATGCCAAAAACATCACCTCCACATAGGTGGCCCACCACAGCCACCATAGTAACCATTTCTGCCACAAAAGTGGCTAGAGGCCACAACTACCATGCCACTGGAGCACACTGACACAAGGAGAGTCACCAGCCGAGATAAAGAAAAGGATGTCTCGGGCCGGCCCGGTGGCGCACTGGAGAGTGCGCCGCTTGGGAGTGCGGCGGCGCTCCCGCTGAGGGTTCGGATCCCATGTGGAGACCGGTTCCCGCTCACTGGCTGAGCGAGTTGTGGGCGCAACACCGAGGGTTGCGATCCCGTTGCCGGTCCCCGGTTACGGGCGCGACACCGAGGGTTGCGATCCCATTACCGGTCAGTAAAAAAGACAAAAAGGAAAAAAAAAAAAAGAAAAGGATGTCTCTCTCCACAAAGACCATTTCAGAGTGACAGAAGAAGCATCTGCTCTATGATAATACTGAAGGACCTGATCACACCTCTCAGCATTGGACAGATCATCTAGGCAACAAATCAACAGAGTAACCATTATTCTTTCAGAAGGAGAGAAGAAATCTAGGGTAACTGAGGGGGGGACAAGGGGATGGGGAGAGATTGGACAAGGGGCATAAAGAATAATTATGATTTGTAGCAATACATATGCTAGTAATATTGATTTGATCAACATATCTCAATGTTGAACCCCAAAAATATGCATAATCAATTTTGATTCAATAAAAATTAAAGAATATATATATATATATATATATAAAATAGAAAGTGAAACCCAATATCCAGCAAAGGTAAATTTGTACAACACATTGGTGATTATTATTACAGATACTTTCCAATGCACGAACACAGATTGTCCTCCCTTAGTTCTTTTAACAACTTCTTAGAACATAGTATGGGTGAACGACAGCAATTTGATTACTAATCATCATTTATGTTATTTACCATTTTACACTATTACAGCATCCTAATCTGAAAATCCAAAATGCTCCAAAATCTGAAATTTTTTGAGCACCAACATGACACTCAAAGGAAATGCTCATTAGAGCATTTTAGATTTCGGATTAGGGATTCTCAACAGGTTAAAAAGTATCTGCAAATATTCTAAAATCTGAAAAAATCTGAAACATCTCTGGTCCCAAGCATTTCAAATAAGTGATACTCAACCTGTAAACATAATGCTACAATAAATATCTTTGTCCATATGTCTTTGTGCATAACAATTCCATGTTCAATTTATTTATCTCTCACCTGTTTCATCATAGTCATTATCGCAGACATTCTCCTGGTCAATTGGTTGAAGACAACCAAATGGATCATAGGCCAGTGGGCTCTCAAAGAAACTCTGTTCTCGGCTTATTGAGACCCTCATGGGGTCTCTGTCTTGATAAAAACCTGGTTTACCTGGGAAGAGAAAAAAAAAATTGACTCAAATTTCTGCTTAAGTTTCTAAAGCTAGCTAAAACGAAATCGACAATTTAGATTATGGGTAAAAATCTAAACTCTTAACTGCTTATCTTTCATGGTCAGGACTTTAAATAATTTTACTTTAATTTTACTAAGTTTTTAATGATACTCTTACTTCCCAATACCAGATATGCATCGGCATTGACTAATCACAGGAAAAATACCTGGAGAATTTACTAACCATTAATAGTATTATAAGGTATAATATACATTCATAATTTATATATAAAGTTGAAAAATAGCCACAACTAATATGTGGTGTAAAAAATCAAGACAGGGGCTTATCTGCAGACCAGCCACCCACCAAAACAAAAAAAAAGATAGGGGCTTAGAAGAGAGGAGATAATAACTGGGAAGGTACAAAGGAAGAGGAGGGTTTATGGGTTTCTCTAATGTTCTGGTTCTTGACCTGGGTGATGGTTACATGGGTGTAGTTATTATGCTGATAAACCACTGAAATAAACACAATTTGTGCACCTCTCTGAATGCTATACTTTGATTAAAAAATAAGAACAAACAAATAATCAAACAAAGGAGTATGAGATACCCAAAAGAAGCAAGCTAATTTACTGGGTAGAATCCCAGGAAAACTTGGGAATTAAAGGCACCGGGTATTATAAAAGGAAGACGTGTGTCAGGGAACTGAAAACAGGGAGAATGTGTAAAACTATATACTTGGAACAGTTAGATCCCTCCAGTCCCCTCAGAACCCTGTCCTTCAACATCATCCCCACAGGAAACTAAAGGTTTATTCTCTGGTGAAATCAATTCCAATACACTCTCAACTCAGGGGCATTAGGCACAGAAAGGAGGCAAGGGTGTAAGGGGGTAAAAGAATACCATTAGGAAATCAGGGGTATTAAAGTAAGTCTGCGATCTCAACCCAAATCCCCTAGGTCTGGCTCCATAATACCAATAGCCAGACTTATATCAAGCTTAGAGGATCTTTCTTTGAAGAAATTAAGACTGTAAACTATTTCAAGGAAAAGAACATAGTTGAGGGTCCTCAATGAAAAGCCACACCCTTTCCAATGAAGTCCAATAGTAAATAAGGCCTCCCACTCACAGAAAGGCTCCAATTAGCCTTTTAGCAGCCTACTCAAATATGCAAGATATTACAGGAAAGCCTCTAAAATATAAGACAGAGACAACAAAAAAAGAAACAAAAGAACTCAAACAGAAAATATAGAAATCCAAACAAAAACTATAATTATTTAAAGTAGATAATATTCTGCATCCCTGAGGCAAAAGCAGTATGTTATGAAAAAGAGCAACCTTGTAGAAACTACAATTTGATAATCAAAATACAAGCTCAGAAGAAAAGTTAGAAGACAAAGTTAAGAAAATGTGCCAGAAAGCAAAACCAAAAGAAAAAGAAAGTAACTATAGGGGAGAGAAGAAAAGAAAATTGAAAGAGCAATATAAATCAGTGTTTCTCAAGATTGTTTTTACTACCACTCCACTAAGGAGACTTTTTAGACTTTTTTTTTTCTAATTGCCCCTATCTCCATGAAATTTTAATAACTGCAAATATACTATATATCTGTGTTTTATACATAAAAAGAGTAAGTTTTTTTCACCTCTCCAAGAACAAATTTTCACCCTATTGGGGGAAATAACATCCTTGTTAAGAATGCATAGTATAAGGGCCGGCCCGGTGGCGCACTGCTACAGTGCACCACTTGGGAGCGCGGCGGCGCTCCCGCCGAGGGTTCGGATCCCACATACAGACCGGCCGCTCACTGGCTGAGCGAGGTGCGGGTGCAACACCGAGGGTTGCGATCCCGTTGCCGGTCCTGGTCCGGTAGGGGCGCGACATGGAGGGTTGCAATCCGTTGCCGGACATGAAAAAAAAAAAAGAATGCATAGTATAAAACGGGGGAAAAAAAAGAATGCATAGTATACGTCATCCAATGTCCAGTTAAGAGGTGTTCCACAAAAAAAGAAAATAGTGTGAACTACATGAAAAATTATATTGAGAGGTATTTAATAGTAGTAGAGTTTGAAAAGACATATATTATACAGGAACTTTAAGCAAATAAAATAAAGAGGATAATTTACTAAAGAAAAAAAAGCATTTACAAAAAGAAAATATATAACTAGTACATATTGTCTCAGCAGTGAAAAATATTTATATATCACCATGATGATAATTTAGCTTAACTTTTGCTTAAATCCATTGCAACTATAAAGGTAAATATAAGAAGAAACACCTAAGACTTGAAAAGTAACTGCCTCTGGTGAATGGGATTAAGTGATGGCTAAGAGTAGGAAGAACTGTTTCGTGTGATTATCTTTAGCACTATTTGCCTTTTAAAATTATTTACATGTAATATTTTGATTAAAAGTATTACCCAAAGAAGTATGATAAAATATAATGAGAACTCCCAAGACCACATGAGAGGGATAGCTGAGGATAAGCTTACCAGACAAATGGCACTTAAACCAAGAGGAGGAGCAAGATCATGAAGGGCCTGACTGATGAAGCTAGAGACTTCAACTTATTAGACTTATTCATTGAATCAAAAGGAAACCACTGAAGAGTTTTAAATAGGGGGAAACAGGGAGATTACTGTGAATATACCTTGGGAAAATATATTTGAGTATAAAGCCAAGACTGGAAATAGGGATACATCAGAATTTCTAGCAGCCATCCAAGAAACAAATTATAGCCTGAATTAAATGAGTGGTAGTAGGAATGGAAAGAAGTGAACAGATTTAAAAGTTCACAATGTAGAAGTGAGAAAATTTGGTGATTTTTTGGGTGTTAGAAAGATGTGGATAAGAGAAAAAGATAGATAAGGATACTAATTCACTGAAAAAAGAAGGCTGAAAGATAAGGAGGTGAAGGTAAAGGATATATGCACTTCTCTTTTAGACAAGATGACATTTTTGCAATCTTAAATATGATTTATTATAGGAATCAATGATAAGAATTTCCCAATGCTCATTCTGATTCCTGAACCGTTGTGGTTTGTCAAATAGTGTAAAATAGGAGGAAACCTTAGAAAGCCCAGTAACAAGTAAGATTATTATCTTACACAAAACATAGTAAGAAAGCAGAAAGGGGACTGATTCTTAAGAGTTATTCTGAATCTCTACCTCTAATTCTTTCAAACAGTCAGAAACAAAGGTACTATATTTTGGGGCCAGCCCCATGGCTCCCTCGGGAGAGTGCGGCGCTGGTAGCACTGAAGCCTTGGGTTTGGATCCTATATAGGGATGGCTGGTGCACTCACTGGCTGAGCGTGGTGCAGACTGCACCATGCCAAGGGTTGTGATCCCCTTACCAGTCAAAAAAAAAAAAAAGTACAATATTTTGTGTCTGAAGACCAAAATAGCTAATATTAACATTACACTTCTATGTACCTTTCTATTAACAAAGCTGACTTTCTTCCTGAAAAAAGGATTTGGTTTGATAAATTTGATCAAGAAAACTATTTGTTGAGTCTGAAATCTAAAGATAATGATGAAATTTAAATAGGGCTATTTACTAAAGATCACAGGGAGGAATTTTCCTAGATAATTAAATGTAGAAAGAAGTACAGTAAAGAAATATTCCTCTTCTGACTGTCCTTAAAGCCAGCAGTTAAGCATAACAAACCTATAGAGATAAAGGAAAAGAGCAGTGAAGGCACTAAAACAGTCAACTGGCAAGAGAAAAGAGAAAGAAACCTGAGTTACATCCTAAAGAAACATATTAAGAAGGCAAATATAAAAGGAAGCAGAAGGAGCAAGAATGTCAGAATACGGGAGACCAAATTATTCTGTCTACAGTAATTTGGTTTCCCCCATATAAGAAACTAGGTACCTGATGCCAATTTTATTTACTGTTTTTTAAAAAGTAGAACTATCTTTAATTGCAGATGAAATAAAGTTATATATAGAACTTGGTAAGAGATTTACTAACATATACTAGTACCCATAAATGAGTTTATCAAGGTCAATATATAAAATTCAACTGTTAAGTCCAAATTTTAAATACTGTTTATATAAATCATTTTTTTACCTTTCATGAGTAGTCACAGCTAAGTTGCTTTAACAAAAACCATTTAGAATCCTAACAAACTATTTACAACTATAAAAACTATTTAAAAACTCTTATTTTGTCAAACCAACAGTATACCTAGTATAGAAGTTCTGCCACTTGTTGGTGATTCCACTTCTTGTATAGCACTAAGTTCATGTTGGTTTAAGTCTAATCCACATTTAACTTTTGCTACAGGTGGCTTTGAGGATCTTCTGCCCAGTTCTTTATTCAGATGGTCACCTATCAAGTCAACGACAACGTTAGGCACAAGAAAAATCTATTAACACATACTACAAACTTTTCTTCAGCCAGCACGCTCCAGAGTTTAGTAAAAGCAAAGAACAATCAGCAGAATAAGTACAATAAAGTACAATTGTCTTACCACTTTGCTTGGCACTAACATCTTCTGAAACCAGCTGATTATCATCAGAGTCACTCCTATCTGCATGACTAATGTTTTCCTGATCACCTCTTGCTAGGTCTTGGATATGAGGAAGCCACTCTCCAAGCTGCTCCATCTTCTCGGTTTTTAAATCATTTTCAACTGTGGGCTTACTTATCTGAAAAAGTGGACAGATGAGGGTGGGGATGACACAAGTTGAGGGATCATGTGAAGTAGTCATTAGATTTATATTTCCTTTCCGAAATTAGAACCTCAACCAAATAAGTAGTTCCATCAATCATATTTTACAATTTATCCACAGTAAAAAATGAGATATGCTTCCAATATTGAAAAGGAAATATTCCCATTGAAAAGTACAACCAGGGCTGGCCAGTTAGCTCAGTTGGTTAGAGTGTGGCGTTATAACACCAAGGTCAAGCATTCAGATCCCCATACGGGCCAGCCGGAAAAAAAAAAAGTACAACCATTCATAGTCCTGGATCTAAAAAGTTAGCCTCTCAATAAGATATTATACTAGAGTATCCCCCTCTGCTTTTCTTTTGTAATTACATATTTTTCCTTTGAATGAACATTAAATCTCTAGAACCCCACTTCTCCTGAACTCAACTCAATCTTCTCCTGAACACCAAGGGATTTGTAAAATTCTATTTAGACTAAATAATAAATGTGGGAAGTGGCCTTTTAAAATAAAATGGATACATTCATACTGAGGAGAACATACTTTTGTCTTCCACACAGAGAAACTATAAATGTCTGAGTGACCATGCGAGTCTTCTCAACAATTCAGATACAAGCCGCAGGTCCAGCTCTCTATCAGCGTAAATTCACACCAGTTTACAAAAGGCAATAATAATGTCACTTAAGGAAAAAGATATTACTGACTTTGATTCATGTTTTGATTCAAATATATATGTCATCAAAGTGCTATACATAAAAAACAGAAGGTCTGCTACTGCCTAAGTAAAATTCTGCTAACCGGTTATTTTTATAATTTTATTCTTATGGCAAGTTTAAAAGCCACTATAACAAAACTCCAAATGAGAATATGCATTCTTTTGTGGTGTTTACATTTAAAACTTGTTGGGCCGGCCCCGTGGCACACTCGGGAGAGTGCAGCGCTGGGAGCGCAGTGACGGTCCCGCCGTGGGTTTGGATCCTGTATAGGAATGGCCGGTTCGCTCACTGGCTGAGCATGGTGCGGGCAACACCACTTGTCTGAATGGTTTACATTGGTCATTAACAGTGATGGGCTCTTGGAGGCATAAGGCAAATATATGATCCTAAGTGTTTCTAAAAAATAAAAATCAAAAGCCTTGAATTAGGTTTAGGATGTAAGTTAAACTTCAGCTTGTAATATGGTACCTCTTTAGAGCTTTAAAGCAAAGTAATAGGGCCGAGCCCGTGGCGCACTCGGGAGAGTGCGGCGCTGGAAGCGCAGCAGCGCTCCCGCCGAGAGTTCGGATCCTATATAGGGATGACCGGTGCGCTCACAGCGCTCACTGGCTGAGCACGGTGCGGCCAGTCTCAAAAAGGACAAAAATAAATAAATAAATAAATAAAATAAAACTAGTTGGGTTTCAAATAACTATTAACCACATAAACACCATGTGAGGTAGACCAAATTTGTTTTAATTTTCCCATTGTTCAGAGTAGAAAATTAAGGCACACTTAAAATCAAAACACTCATTCTCAATAACTGAAAACTAGTAAGCCTAGGATTAAAACTGAGTTGGGTTTAAATCTCCATTGTTTAATTCTTTAAAACACCATGTGAGGTAGATCAATTTTTGTTTTAATTTTCACATTGTTTAGAGTAGAAAATTAAGGCACAATTATGGTCAAAACACTTATAACTAAAAACGTCTAAGGGCAGGATTAAAACTGAGTTGGGTTTAAACTCCATTGTTTAATTCTTAGATATTCAAATTTAAAACATACCTGACCATCTTTAAAGAAATCCTTCAAAATCTCTTGATGTTTCTCTATCTGCTGCTGCAATGCTGTTTGTCTCTGTACAAGCACTTCTTCCTGGGCTTTTTGGCTACAGTGCAGAAACTCTCTTTGTAGATCCAACTGCTTCTGAAGTCCCAAGTTATCTTGCTGAACTAAGAAAAGCTGTGAAAAACTTAAAAATCTATCTTGAAATCTTGGGATCATAGAATCACTTGAGGGAGCTGTACGTTCATTCTGGGATGAATACAGTTCACAAATGCTTTTAGATTTAGCTTCAGCAAAAGGTAGTGGAATAAATGAATGCTCTGTTTCCTTGGGTAGAAACAAAGAAGGGATACCATGATCAGCAGATTCATTTTTGTTCGACTCACTTTGTTTGTTTACAAGCAGCTCTTCCTGGGGTTTTTCATTAGAATATACCACTTCTCTTTGTAAACCCAATTGTGCTGTCAAATTATCTTGCTGAGGCAGAATGGGCTGTGATAAACGCAAAAGTCTATCCTGAGATCTTGGGATTTCAGGATGATTTGAGGGAACAGTATCATTACTTTTGGTTGGAAAAGACTTCTGGGTTCTTTCATAGTCGGCCACAGGCAGTACTACCTGGGATAAGAATGAAGAGGAGGTAATCTGCTCAGATGATACCCTTTTCTCCAATTTACTTAATCTTTGCAAAAGCAATTCTTCTTGGACTTGTCTAGATCGAATGGCTTTCCTCTGCATATCTAATTGTTGTTGAAGGGCCTTCAAATCACCATGATGAGGTTGGACAAAATGCTCAGAAGATCCCTTTTCCTCAAATTTATATTGTGTAGGCAAAACCAATTCTTTCTGAGTTTTCTCAGTAGGAGGAAGGGAATTTGTCTGTGCATGCACGTGTTCTTGAAGTGCAATCAAATTATCCCGTTCAGGTAAAATAGGATGTGATAAACTCAACAGCCTATCAGGCAATCTTGGTATCTCAGAATAACTTGAGGAGACTGTATTGTCACTGCTACTTGGACAAGGTCCCTGGATTCTTTCAGATTTAGTGAGAGGCAATGAAGCAAATGAATGCTGCACTACTAGTGGTAAGGAAGAAATGCTGACCTGCTCAGGAGATATTCTTCCCTTCCACTCACTCTGTTTATGTAAAAGTAATTCTTCCTCAGCTTCCTGTCTAGATTGAATGATGGCTTCCCTCTGCGTAGCTAACTGTTCTTGAAGTGCCTTCAAATTATCTTGTTGAGGCTGGATAAGTTGTGATATCCTCAAAAGCCTATCCTGCAATTGTGCGATTTGATAATGGCTTGAAGAAATTTTACTATCAGATACTGTCGGAAGCAGTTCCTGGGTTGTACCAGACTCAGCAGAAGGTAAGGAAGTAAATGAAAGCTGTAACTGTGGTATTACTGCTGATGAGCCAGTTTGTTCAGAAGGTGAATTTTCTTGCGTTTTCTGGCTAAAATGAAAGGCCTCTTTCTCTGTGTCTAGCCATTCTTGGTGTTCTTCCAAATTATTTTGTAGAGGTAGTATATGCTGTGAAAACCTCAAAAGTCTTTCCTGAAATCTTGGGATCTTGGAATGACTAAAAGGAACTGTACTGTCACTCTTGACTGACATACATTCCTGGAATTTCTCAGATTGAGCTAGCTGGGATAGGGATGAAGAGGTGCCAGTCTGTTCAGAAGAAATTATTTTTTCTAGTTCAGTTTGTTTGTGTACAAATTCTTGAGTTTCTTCTTTAGCACCAAGTATTACCTTCTGTACGTGTGATTGTTCTTGGAGTATCGTCAACTTTTCTGGCTGTGGCAGTCCGTGCTGTGGAAAATTAAGAGACTTATCCCGAAATGTTGGGGTTATCAAATAACTAGAAGGAATTATACTCTCCTGAGATAAATAACATTTCTGAATTCTCCTAGGCTCAGCTTTAGCAGATGCTTGTGAAGCAACTGAATGTTGAACCATTGGCAAGAAGGAAGAACTCATCTGCCCAGATTTCTTGTCCTCCAATTCCCTTTGTCTATGTACAAGTAACTCCTCCTGAGCTTCATGCCTCGCCTGAAGAGTGTCCTTCTGTACAGTCAGCTGTTCTTGGAGCAACTTCAAACTATCATGTAGAGGTAGAAACTGCTGTAGGAAACTCGAAGACCCATGCTGAGATTTAGGTATTTCAGATTGGCTTGAGAGAAACCCTCTCTCACTCTTAGATAAATATGGCTCCTGGATTTTTCCAGATTTTATATCAGCAGAAAGTAGTGAAGTAAATGGATGCTGAGCTACATGAAATGGGAGAGAAGAGGGCTCAGCCTTTTCAGAACATACTCTTCCATCCAATTCACTCTGTTTATGTATACATAATACTTCCTGGGCTTCCCGTCTAGCCTGAAGGATATCCCTCTGAATATTCAACTGCTCTTGGAGAAATTTAAAATTATTTTGCTGCAATAAGATAGGCTGTGAAGAATTCAAAATCCTATCCTGAGGTTGTGAGACCACAGGATGGCCTGAGGAGACTGCAGTATCATTCTTGGTTGGAGAAGATTCCTGGATTCTCCCCAATTCAGCTTTGGCAGAAGGCAGTAAAGCAAATGAATCTGAAGGCACTAATGGAAGGAATATAGGGAGGCCTGCTTGCTGTTCCAATTCCTTCTGTTTACACAAAATCAATTGTTCCTGAGCTTCCTGTCTTGCCTGAAGAACTTCCTTCTGCAGGTCTAACTGTTCTTGGAGAGCCTTCAAATTACCTTGCTGGGCTATGATATTCTCTGAGAATGGCAAAGGCCTATCACGTGTTTGACTAATTACAGAATGGCTTATAGAAACCGCACTTTTGCTTGCGGTTGAAAAGGATTCCTGGATTTTTCCATATTCACCTTTAACAGGAAGAGAACTAAAAGAATGCTGAGGTACCAGTGGTAGGAATGAGGAAGGTTCAGTTATCTTAGGTATACTTTCACTGTCCTCTAAGCCTATTCGCTGGGAATCTAAAGTTTGAAAAGCTGTTGCCCTAGATGTTTCAGTTATTTTTTTAGCATCCTGTAATATTAGTGGCCTATCATGTGACAAAGCCCTTGAAAGTATACGAGAATCTTTAGATACCAATTTATAGTCTCTCTGTAGTGTTTCGGTCTGTGAGAATTGCCTTAGATGTTTTTGTGATTCCAAAGACTGTGTAGCTAAAACATCAGAACTGCTTAATGTTTCTGTTGTTTCTACCTGTCTTTGTGGAAAGTGCTTTTGTCTTGGTACCTGAAAATGATCTTGTTCTAATTTGGAGATTGGTATGGTTTGATATTTGTTAGGACTCAATTTGGGTTTCTGACTTTGATCCCAATGCTCTGATACAGCAGTGGATCTTTCAGATTTCCATGGTGGTGCTGATGTCACAGAATCAGATATCAATGATGGAGCTGACATGGATGGGTACCTTTCTTTTAACACAGCTTGATATTCGAGTAATTGCTTCCTGGCTGTTTCAACAGACTGCCTGTGTAACCTACCAAAAACAAACAAACAAAGTATTATTCTTTTTTAATGAAAAAAATGCCCCACATTCTCAAGTGTCTATATCAGGGGTCTTCAAAAAGATCATGGAAATACTCATATTATCTTTTAATGTTATTTTCCCATGAACTTTCTGAAGGACTCTCGTACATTAAATTTAAAAAACAGCAACGTAGGGTTGGCCACAATCATGGTGAAAAAGGAACAACACACTCCCTCTGCCCTTTGAGAAATCTATATGTCATAGTTCTAAGGGAATCCCAACTAGATCTTCATATAAACCAAATAATAAATCCTGAAAATGTAGCCACATACTATCACATATACATTATACCCTAGTAAATACCTGTTTCGTTGTAAAAGCTGATGTTGATAGTTACGAATCATCTGCCTATGACTGTCCTCATCAGAAATTACAGAGCATGATGCTGGAGCAGTGCCAACCTAATAAAAGACAAAGCTACTAATTAAAAGCCAAATTCAGAAACAACTACTATGGTATTTTACGTAAACTAAAGTGCTATAGTTATAAATTTCAATATAGCTTGGTTTTTTATAAAAAGATTAGTATCCCAATAAGTAAGAAGTAATCCTCCATTCTCCTTTAGTGCCAAATCCAAAAGCTCAACATGCACATTACATACAAAACATAGTCATATATATTGGCACCCTATAGAAACTGAAACATGAAAGCCATTAGGTTGGTGCAAACTCATTTCTTTATACATACATTATTAAAAGAAAAAAAAATGACCAAGTAAGTATTAGAAAGCCATTTTATTTCTCTAAATGCTACGATTGCCTAAATGTGTATTTTCTTATTGCCCAATGATTTATGTAGATTTCCTGCATCCTACCCCAGTCTGTTGAGTTTTTTTCCTTTTTTCTTCTTCCAGCTGAGCCCTGAAGCAATCAGTTTCTAATCTTAACTTCTGTTGTTCAATTTGTTCAAGTAATTCCCACTGCTTTTGCTTCTGTTCTTCTATTTCCATTATCTGGATAACGAAAATACTATTTACTAACAACAAAATCATGCAAAAAAAAAGTTAATATGTATTATATTAAAAAGAAATAATTTTCATCACCAGCAGTACCAATTATCCAGAAGTAAGTAGTGATTTATCTGTTACTGCACTGCCAGAGGGATGACAGGAATAAGAGATGGGAAAACGGAAAAAGAGAAAAAGGTTGAGAGAAGTAAAAAGAGGTGGAAGGAAAGAAAAATAAACACATTAACTACTATTTTCAGGGAAACCCTGATCACCACTAAAGAACCACTTCCAGAGAAGCAGCAAATGATGCACAGCCAAATTCCCTGTAAACATCTTTAATTTCACATTGTTTCCAGCATGAATGACTAAAGAAACATCAAGCCCTCCCAAAACACCTGGATTTTTTAAGTATACCTATTAAGAGGTATAGTTAACTAAAAGCCAGATAATAATACAATGAACAACTGTCTTTCCTGTCAGGCATGAAACAAAGGGGAAAAAAATGATGACGGATGACACACAAACTCTAACATTATACAAACACACACACACTCCAAATAATATAACATATTTCTAAATAATGAGGACAAGGACTAGTCTATTTGGTTACCTGTCAAATCCAGCACCCAGTACAGTAGCCCCCCCTTTTCCGTGGTTTTGTTTTCTGTGGTTTCAGTCACCCGCAGTTAACTGCGGTCTGAAAACATTAAATGAAAAATTTCAGAACTACACAATTCATAAATTGTGTGCCTTTCTGAGTAGCAGTGAAGTCTTGTGCTGTCCCGCTCCACCCCGGCAGGATGTGATGAATCATCCCTTTGTCCAGTGTATCCACACTATTTACACTACCCGCCCATTAGTCACAAGAGCTGTCTGGGTTATTAGATCACCTGTCAGTTATCAGATGAACTGCAGCAGTATTGCAGTGCTTGTGTTCAAGTAGTGATGCTGGCAATCTGGATATACCAAAGAAAAATCATAATGTACTTCCGTTAAGTGAAAAAGTTAAAGTTCTCAACAAGGAAAGACAAAAAATCATATACTGAGGTTGCTAAGATCTATAGTAAGAACGAATCTTCTATCCATGATATTGCGAAGAAAAAAGAAATTCATTTATAGTATATATAGAGTTTGGTATAATCTACAGTTCCAGGCATCTACTGGGAGCCTTGGAACATATCCCCCGCAGATAAGGGAGGACTACTGTACAGTCCCTGATACACAGATACATACCTACTGAATAAGTAGAAAAAAGAATGCATGTGAAGTTTCATGAAGAGGAACACTTCTACTAGTGATAATGAAGAATGATCTTTTTTTCAAAATAAAAAATATCTTGACCTGATACTTTACCTATTCCTAATAAGGCTACAGCTGAGTTCCTGTCTTCCTTACTTTCCCTCACTCATATGAGCCACTGATTGTTTACAGTTCTGTAGCACCTCTAGAATTATAATATCAATACGGTAGTAATGTGACTATTTAAATTTAAATTAGTTCAAATTAAATAAAATTTAAAATTCAGTTCCTCAGTTATACTAGCTACATTTCAACTGTTCAACAGCTTATGAAGCTAGCAGCTACCATATTGGATATAGAATATGAAACATTTCTTTCACCATAGAAAGTTCTACTGAATAATATTCTTCTAGACTATCAATTAGAGAATATTTATCTGAGAAGAAATACTGGCTCATAGAATTCTCACTCCCCAGCTGTATTTTTGAAAAGACTATGACTATAAACTGACCAGCTTAGTAATAATTAGCCTCCTTCAAGGTAATTTGTGTTTAAAAAATCTTTTATTAAATGTAGATGAGACCAACATTATAGCTAAGGAAGTTGAATTTAAAATTTTTCCTGTGAAATACTATTTTTCAAAAAACATTTGGGATTACAAAGACCACCTGAGTGTCTAATATTAGGATAAGGACTTGTTAATTCAACAAATATTCACTAAGCACTTATTATGTACAATGCATTGTATCAGAAACTATGTACAGTAAATTGAATTTTTTTTTTTTTTTCTTTTGTCTTTTTTCCGTGTCCGGCAACGGATCGCAACCCTCAGTGTTGCCCCCGTACCGGACCGGGGACTGGCAACGGGATTGCAAGCCTCGGTGTTGCTCCTGCGCCTCGCTCAGCCAGTGAGCGGGAGCCGGTCTGTATGTGGGATCCGAACCCTCGGACGGGAGCGCCGCCGCGCTTCCCAAGCGGCGCACTATCCAGTGCGCCACCGGGCCGGCCCAGTAAATTGAATTTTTTAAAGAAGACAGTCTCTGCTTTTATAAAAACATAAATTTTATAGGGAAGATAAGATATATGCAAAACAAGAAAATACAAAGTAGATACAGTAAGGGTCAAATGAGTAGTATAAGCAAAGGCAAAATGCATTTTATCAGCTGAATGTTTGTATAAGACAAGGTAGAAAACATGATATTAAAAATAGCCAGACATTAAGACAAATTTCACTGGTGAAACAAAATTATAGCACCTCGGGGAAGAAAGAAACTTTTAAAAATAAAATTTCAAATTACCTGTTTCTGCCTTGTTGACATTCTAATTCTGGCTGCTGCTTCTTGAGGATGAAGTAGAACTGAATTCTGAGCTACGGCTGTGATAGGTAGAGGCTCATTTATTTCTAAGAAAATCCCCAAAACAAAAATTAGTTTCAAAAACTTAGAATTTTGACAACACTATAATGCCTTTCCATTCATTTATTACATGTAATTTTATTAGAAAAAGAAGTGAAGAGTCAAGCAAGTTTAATTTGAGGATGTAATAAAAAGAAATACCTTGTTCCTTTCCAGAATCTGTACTGCAAGGAAGTGATTTATCTTCATTAGTAATTGGTCCAGACTCAATTGTTAGTATATCACTTTCAACAACTGTAATAGATAATATCACTGTTATTATGAACATCATTGTCAAGCTTAAACTGGAGCAAAATAACAAAAATCTGGCATTGAGATCAACAATTCAATCTTGTCCACCTGAATGTCTTATTTAGTTAAAATCCAGTCACCTTCCTGATGACCATATATATTACCCATTAAACTTAAGCCTAATATAACAAGACAAATGAAGACTAAAATTATGAAAACGGAAACAGTGAAGAACTGATTAAAAGTTATGCTGACAGGGTTTCACACAATGGAAAAGTATAAAATGAGTAGAATAAGCAAGGTATGAAAGTTAAAAAAGAGAAGCTAAAGAAACGTCAATGTAACTTTGATATATTTAGATACTAGAATTTTTATTATTTGTGAAACCAGAGCAGAAAAGGAAGTTAAAGCAATTTACTCTCATTATATCAGGGTAGCCAGATACTCTGCATGGAGCTTTCATTCATTTCCTCTCTCATTTATTCAGCACCTACTTATGCGCTAGATGCTAGGGACACTGTGGTAAATGAGAAAAGGCCTCAAGGAAATTTTACGGGGTGAGCGGGGGGCCAGAAACATGTAATTAGCCCACAAAATTTTATAAAATTAGAAATTGTGATAAGTACTATAAGAAAAATGAGGGGTAATACAATAAAGAGATTTAGTGGGTCAGGTAAGATTTTTCTAAGGAAATGACATTTAAGCAGACATCTGAAAGGTAAGAATCAGCCAGGTGAAGAATATGGGGATGTATAGGAGATCTTTCCAGACAGATCAGCAGGTATCAAACACCCTGTGAGGATAAAAAAAACTGGCCCATTTAGAGAACTGAAAGATCAACGTGAACGGGGTGTAGCCAGGCGCAAGGTGGAGAATGAAGCAACATGAGAATGAAGAAAGCCTACTCATTCAGGTATTTTTTCAAAAGTACTTGGTTATGGATTGAATATGAGAGTCCCCCTTTTTTGTATTCCAACACATATTCTCTCCTGTTTCTCAGGCCAGTCCTTTTACTGCCTTTGCTGTCTGCCCCTTCTCTAGCCATCTTCTAGATGCTGGAATCCCTCAGATGGTCTTATAAGACCTAATCTCATTGAATTCCTTCCCCTAAAAGAGTTCTTCCATGCCCATGGCTTTAAATATTACAAACATAAGAATGTGTTTGTGCATGTGTATGTATATGAAATATATATGTGTGTATGTGAATATATATATATTTCCAAATTTACCTTTCTTGCTTTAAGCTATTCAATTAATTCAACAAATATTAACTAAGCACCTTTGATGTACAAGGCATTATCTAAATTCTGTGGGATACAGCAATGTACAAATCAAAGCTCCTACCCTCATAGACAGAATGAAGAGGGGTAGGTATTAAGACAATAAGCAAAATAAGCAAGAAAGTAAATTTATTGCCCATCAAATGTTGTAAGAGCTATGGAGAAAACGCAAGGTAAAGCGGATTAAGAGTGGTGGGGGTGGGGAGAAGGGTAGAAGCTTGCCATTTTACATATTGTAGTCACAGAAGGCCTTGCTGAAAAAGTGATGGTGGAGCAAACAAATAAAGGAAGTGAAGGAGTAAGCCATAGAAATATCCAAGAAGAGAGAATTATGGCCAAAAAGACAAGCCATTGCAATGACCACATGAATCACGTTTGCTCTGTTTGAGGAACAGTAAGAAAGCCAGGGCTGCAGTTCAGTGGTTGGGGGGAGGTGTAGTCGAAAATGAAGTCAGAGAGATAGTGAGGGTAAGAGTAGTGGTTGTGGGGTATGTGTGCAGATCATATAAGGCTTTGAAGCCACTGTAAGCACTTTGGTTTTTACAGAGTTAAACTGGTAGTTATTGGAGGGCTTCACCCAGAGGACTAGCATGAGCTGACTTGTGTTTTAACAGTACCATACTGTGAACAGACTACAGCAGAGGTCAAAAGCTAGAGACAGCAGGCTATTACAAAAATCTCCACTAGAAAATGAACATAGCTAAAACTAGGATGGTAGGTGATGAGAAATGGTTGGGCTTTGGATGTATTTTGAGGGTAGGACCAACTAGATTTGCTGATAATTTGAATGTAGGATATGAAAGAAGGGAATCAGAATGTAAGCTTTTTGCCTTGAGCAAGGGAATTAAAAGACTGTAGGAAAAACAGGTGTAGAGGAGAGCGAATATCAGAGTTCATTGTGGGACAAATTTAAGATGTTGCAAGTATTAGATATACAAGGAAAGAGGTCAAATAGACAGTTAAATAAATGAGTTGAGTTTAAAGGGGAGGCCGACCCTAGAAATATACTTGGGGAACATCAGTACACAGATGATAATGTAAAGTGAAATTAGAGACCAACTAGGGAGTTTTGATACAAAGAGAAAATTTGAGGTACGAGCTCTAGTGGCAATGGTTAGTGGTTGTGGAGATGCAATAACTGCAAAGGAAACCATGAAGGAGGAACCAGTGAAGTGGGAAAAAAAGAGAGGGTGGTGTCAAGAGGCCAAGTAAAGAAAATATTTCAAGAAGGCTTCTTGCTGTACTTAAAATCCAAAATCCAAAGACAGAATATAAGTCATATCTCAAAAAAGCCTGATAGCAAAACATTTCCATACAAATCCAATCACATCTTTAAAAGAATCCAAAAGATAAAACAAAATGAGTCAAAAAGGAGTTAAACCTTCATGATTCTCATTTGTTTACATATAATTCAAGGAGATACTGGTGGTATAATCTTTGTAATTTCTGGAAATATATTTAATAGCCTATTTATGGAACAAAAAAACAATTTTTAAGTTAACAGGAAACCAAATCTCTGATGGGAATGTAAAATAAATATACAATATAATACACTCAAAAGCTGTTAACATGTTCATATCCTTTGATTCAGGAATTCTTTTAAGAGATCTTCCTAAGGAAATAATGAAAGATGTGGGCAAAGACTTCACTAAGAGGATGCCCACTGCAGCATAAGAAATAACAAGAAAAATTAGAAACAGCTTAAATGTCTCAACAATAGGAACTGGTTAATTTTGATTCATCAATTACACTGGAACTAATACACATATGAATAATAACACTACATTGAAAGGGGTCTGGAGAGAAACTCACTAATGTTTTTAACATTTAGGATGTTGTTTTCTTCCTTTTCATGTCTATTCTTTGATTTTTCAGGAAAGAGCATATTTTTGAACAACTTAAAAAGGATTTATATGCTATGAGACTATTGAAAAGAACCACCTTGTTCCTGCTCAGAGGATAATCTCTCTTCACTGGCAATTGTTCCCGTTTCAACTGTTGGTGTTTTATTCTCAATTTGATTAACAGTCGTAATCATTTCACTTTCATCCTCAGACATGGATTTAACTGTCCAGAGAGATTTTTGGCTTCGGATTTTATTTAATAATTTTTTAAAAAGAATTTTTGAAGGGGCCTCTTGGGTTTCCATTGCCAAGGGAACTAAAAGAAAAAAAAAAGGAAAAAAAACTTATTCAGCACCTATTATATACCAGACAATTTATTCTACTTTTATCCTTAATTATTGCAATAATCATTAGTTAATAAAAAAGCACATTTTTATTTTCCTCAAGATTTGTAATTTAACAGTATATACATTAATGCTGTTTGACTCCAATCACTATTTTGTAACCAGGAATAACTTTTTCAACTTAAATTTAAATAGTAAAGGTCCCAAGATGCAACTGTTTTCCAAAAATATGCATGCAACACAACTTTCAAGCTTAAAAATTTATCAGGAAGATGTTTATTCTGCTTGCTAAATGATGACAGAATGCATACCTACTAATTAATCTATGGGTAAGATTAGCATGTGAAATATGTGCTGTAAGGCTCTATATCCCAGAAAATGGTCCCAAATATGGCTCTATACTTCTTAGTAAGCTACAGAGGAAAACATTGCTAGTTATAACCCTAAAAGCAAATCAATTGCTCCCAAATTATTCCTGGTATTATCTGGGGAAAATTTCTCCCATCTATCTTCATAAAGAGAAAAAAAAAAAAAATTCACAAGGTGTTTCTTCAAACATTCTCCCATATGGGCTGATGTCACAATGCCAAAACTCAACACAATACTGACAGTTCTCTAATGGGACAAAACTCTGATGCAAGTACATAGTTTTCTGGTTTAATCAAGAAATAAAATTTATGAATATCTACAGAGGTTGAAAACTGGCAGACTTTAATTTTCTCTGACCCATGTTTTTAAAAAAATGTTCTGGGCCGGCCCGGTGGCGCAGTGGAGAGTGCGCTGCTTGGGAGTGTGGCGGCGCTCCCGCCGAGGGTTCGGATCCCATGTGGAGACCAGTTCCCGCTCACTGGCTGAGCGCAGTGCGGGCGTGACACCGAGGGTTGCAATCCCGTTGCCGGTCCCCGGTACGGGCGCGACACCGAGGGTTGCAATCCCATTACTGGTCAGTAAAAAAAAGACAAAAAAGAAAAAAAAAATGTTCTAACTGAGTTATAACTTATAAACAATAAAGTACACAAAACTTAATTGTACAGTTTAATGAATTTTACATACGTGTGTATGTAACACCATGCAGATCATTATGTGGAACATTTCCAGCACCTAGAAGTTCTCTTCATGCCCCTTCCTAGTCAATATACCCCTAAAGATAACCACTATTCTAACTTCAAGACCATATTAATTTTGCCTGTTATTTTTTAAACTCCATATAAATATGGAATCATATACTTAGGTATTCTTTTCTGCCTGGATTCTTTTATTCACCATTAGTCTGTGACCTACTCATCTTTAGGAAAAAAATTAGTTGCAATATTTAAAAATATTTAAGAAATATTTAAGAAATAAGTGGATTTCTAGCTTTAAAAAACAAAACAAACAAACAAAAACCCTGGCAACACCAAGCCAGTAATCCTAAGTGGAGTCAGCAGGAGCTAAAGAGTAACTGTCCCTTTAGATTAGGCAAGACTTCCAATTCTGACAAACTAGAGATCTGAATGACACTCTCCAATGAAAATAAATGAAAAAACTGGATGACATAGTAAAAATATCTTTTTAGAGACTGCTGATCGGCAAGAAAATAAAAGATTCTGCAGAGGCCAGAAATGAAGTTTAAGTGGGAACCTTGGAAGGAAGGCAAGTGAGTCCTGAAACTGTCTTCTGCCAAGTTTATGCCAAAGTCAAAACACAGTAACCTTACACTTCTGTTTGGAGAGCAATGTGGGCATAGGAAACAAGGATAAAACCTTGAGGCCCCACCCTAGGAGACCTACATAAAGTTGGAACCCCAAGGGCTATACCCACAGTGTAGGGTGCAGTTAAGAAAACCTGAGTGGTTTTAAACAAAAGCAATACCAGGAGAGAAGGGGGTGGGAGGGTGGGGGGGGGTAGAATGAGGTCAATTAAATGAAGATAATTAGGTGTTTAAGGAGATGTGGAGGTAAAAGAAGTGTTAAATATAATTCCCATTGGTCTGGCTTGGGTAACTGCAGACTGCGGTACCATTCACGAAGGAAGATAGAACCAAGTGAAAAAGTTCAGAATGCTGGAGACAGAGATGAAGTTTAGGAGATCAAAGTTTGTGCTATTCATCATCATACATGAAGTGCGTAGCAGTAAATGAACATGGTAGGATCTCTAGCGATTTGATGAAACTCTACACTGACCTTTCAAATGAATTCGGAATTGAACATCTAACCTAAATAACCTAAGAAAGCCAAGATTTTCCTAAAAGTTGGCTAATGATTAGAGTTTTTTTCTATAAAATATTATAATATTCAGCTTAGAAAAGGTTTTTACCTTCTGTTCCATTAGAATATATTTTTTCTACTTCTGTTACTTGAAAGTTTTCAGTTTCACCTGGAGGTTCTTGTTCCATTGAAAGGTCCAGTTCTTCATCTTGGATCTGATCAGTCACTATAGGCAAGGGCTCTGGTTCAAGATGCAAAATCAGGTTTCCTTTCACCTCTTAAAGAAATATAGAGACATGTTTACATTTCAAAATGATTAAAAAGAATTTGATCGTAAAAATTTAAAGGCAATCATAGTTTCAAGTCTAAAATATTTGGGTCTCTTTTAAACTGAGAACTCATTTCAAAATAAAAACTGCTTCATCATTACAAATACATTTTCCCACCAAAACATTTAAAAGCACTGTTGAAAGTCTACCAAAAATATCTTACTCCTGTCTGCATTGTACATATCTTCAAAGGCAAATTCCAGCTCTCTCTGCCAGTCTTCTTTCATTTCACTGCGTTTGTATGGAAGTTCAACTAGTTGTGGTGGCATTTGTGCTACAGTCTGTCTCCTACGTGCCAGGTCCTCTTGTTGTAGCTGTTTGAGTTCTTTCATTAGCTTTTCTTGATTCTTCAAGAATAAAGAGAATTAATGACAGCAGAGTCACAAACTTTCGAAAGTAACATTAACAATAAAGGAAAAGTGGGGAAATCATGAGGAATGGGGCCCAAGGTTCCCTCCCCCTTTGCTACCATTTGTTCTGCTATAAAAAGACACTAATTTAGGGCCGAGCCCGTGGCGCACTCAGGAGAGTGTGGCGCTGGGAGCGCAGCGTCGCTCCCACCGCAGTTTCGGATCCTATATAGGAATGACCGGTGCGCTCACAGCGCTCGCTGGCTGAGCTCGGTGTGACCGGTCTCAAAAAGGACAAAAAAAAAAAAAAAAAAAGACACTAATTTATTCATTCAACAAATATTTGCTGAATGCCAGATACTATGTTAAATGCTAGGGACACAATCTCAAACAGGTAGTATTATGTTAGTAAATATTATCTATGAGAGAGTAGTGCTAGTTAGGCCATAAAGCTTCAAAAGTCTGCCAGTTATGGTTTTCCTTTGTGAGAAAAGTCATGAAGTTATTTTCTATATGAGGGATCTTCAAAAAGTTCATGGAAAGATTTGTATTATCTTTTTTTTTTTTCTTTTTTTGTGTCCGGCAACGGATCGCAACCCTCAGTGTTGCGCCCGTACCAGACCGGGACCGGCAACGGGATCGCAACCCTCGGTGTTGCGCCCGCACCTCACTCAGCCAGTGAGCGGGAACCGGTCTGTATGTGGGATCCGAACCCTCGGCGGGAGCACTGCTGCACTCCCAAGCGGCGCACTGTAGCAGTGCGCCACCGGGCCGGCCCCTGTATTATCTTTTAATTATATTTTTCCATTAACTTTTTGAAGAATCCTTGTATAAGTTGCCACGACTCTTGCAATGTACTTTGTTCCAGTACTCCAAATACCTGTCTCAGGTAAGCACCAAGACCCAAAGTGACTATGGCTTAACAGATAATATCTCGTTACTTCACACTCTTATGAATCCCCATGATTACAGGGGTTCTGAATTTCTCTCTCTCACTCTTTTTTATTTTTTTTTTCGGTGGCTAGCTGCTATTGGGATCTGAACCTGTGACCTTGGTGTTATAAGGTTATAAGGCTGAGCTTTAACCAACTGAGCTAACCGGCCAGCCCCCTGAATATATCTCTTTAAGCTTAAAGAGTGTGGCTAATATGAAAGTTCAAGCAGTGTTTTAGTAAGTTTATCTAATCGAATTTTTGTGGTAGAGGGTAAGGAGAGGGGATAAGGCAAAACCTCTCATTCCTTGGAATAAGAATTTAGCCAGATGAAAGTGGGTGAAGGAGAATAAGTACATGTACGAAAAGAACAACTGCAGCATAAAGGTATGGAATGAAGGCATAGCGTAATCAGAGAATAGTACACTGTTCATTATAGCTAGGGCATAAAGGACAAGGATCATTAAAGAAAAAAAGATAGAAATGGAAAGGCAGATAGAGGCCAAATACTGGTTACAACAGATACTAGCAGGAAATAAGGTCCCAGGCCACTATAGGGTCTTCAGCAAAAAGGCTCAGACAGGGAAAAGGAAATCCTCTATTAGCAGTGAGATTGCATAGTTTTTTCTTTCATATATAAATATAAATATTTATTGAAACATAATTTATATATCTGTGGGGTACAATGTTGAACATCAACACCTGTGTGCAATATGTGATGTTCAAATCAGGATAATTAGTATATTCAACATTACACAATCTAATCATCTTTTGTGGCCTTTTACCAATTTCTTGAGATGGCATAGTTTTTGAAGACCATTTTTATGGAAGAAACATTAAGTTTACAATAAGATGGAGAAAGCCTGCATAAGAACATGTTTGTCTTATAAGTAATATACATAAGTAATAAGTAATACACATATTACTTATTCTTTTGTAAAGCTTTATAACTATTTCATCATTTGGGATGAATTTTTTTTGCCATGCCCTGAAAAGGAATCAAATTATGAACAAATTAATTTCATTTATATTAATATTTAAATCATCTCATTAAATTAACTTCAAAGGTATTTGAATAAGTACACTGTTCTGGCTCACTGAAAACTTGGCATATTATTCTCCTTGGATTATTTATAATAATGACCACTACCACTAACATTTACTGTGAGAATTTCAGGCACATTTCTAATGGTTTTACTAAACTCATTAAGCTCATTTAATCCTCAGAAAACACATGATGAAACAGAGCTCAGAGAGGTTAAGTAACTTGCCTGAAATCAAACAACTTATTAGTGAAGAGAGAGAAGTCCATGCAGACTGACCCACTTTCTTAACCAGTAAAAACTATAAGAATCTGTTTAATTTATGATTAGTTTTCATGTGTTTTTTTTCTATACATTTAAGCCTTAGATGAGAATTACTGATAAAAATTCAGACATTCATTTATCTTTGTCATAATTCACTCTCAGTTTATAAAAGCTAAAAACTTAAGGGAGAAGGCCATAATTTAGTTCGAACTACAGTTGCGCATCGTTTAACAACAGGGACACATTCTCAGGAACGCAATGTTAAGCAATTTTGTCTCTGTGCCATCACCATAGGTGTACTTATACAAACCTAGATGGCGTCACCTACTACACACCTAGGCTATATGGTACAGCTCTTATTATCTAATGGGACCACTGTTGTACATTTAGTCTGTTGTTCACCAAAATGTTGTTATGTGGCTCATGACCACATACAAATAAACATCCATAAAAAAAGCATTTAATTCCCACAGAAGTACTTAAAAACTAGTTTCTAAGATGGGTGTTTAAAACATCTAAAAACATTAGTCAATTCAGAAAACAAAATCAGAATTTTAACAAGATGAATCATTTTTATAATGTGTTTCAGGAATAAGCACTAACTAAATAACAAGCATGACAGAAGTGAAGCTAAAACTATAAAGCCAGTTTTCCCTATTTCTTTTAGGTTTATGACAGTCAAGCAAGGATCATGCCTTTACCTTTGACTCAATACTCTGCAAAGCCAAAGAGAGCTTTGCTCAATAAATATTTAATGAATTGAATCCTCAAATTTATAGAGCTCAAATGCAATTCAAATAATTAAAAAGTGATTAATTTCTTCTCAGGTTATTTTTGGACTGATTAAAATAATAAACTTTAAATGAATTCATTAGTAAAATTTTTAGAATAGTGATATACTGTAAGGGAGAATAGCTTAGTCTAGTCTGAACTTGAAACAGGAGGGCAAAGAAAGTTGCGAAACTTGAAATCACGTGAATCAGAGACTATATTTAACACCCTTCACATCTTTTACTTTAAGTTCATTCATGTACCAGTTCTACAATGCTACCAGTAAGTTTATCAGTAGTGGTCACAGGAAGAATTTAATTCTTACTTGAGCCAAATGGATCTTTTTCATTGCTTGGAAACCCCGTACATGAGCCTTTTCAATCTGTTCCATTTTCTCTTGTGCTGCCTGTTTTTGTAGTTCTTCCAATCGTTTAGCTTCTTCTTCAGCTGCCAAATGAGCACCTGGCTAGCAGACAATCAATAACATTTTAGAAAATTTTTCCAAAAGTGTGAAAAAAAGAAATAACTAAAAAACAAAACAACTTTAAAGTCATGTTTTCTACTAATATAGAATTAAATGGTAAGAAGAATTATACAGTTGTCCCATGGCATCCATAAGGGATTGGTTCCAGGACCTCTCTTGGATACCAAAATCCCTGGATGCTCAAGTGCCTGATATAAAATGGTGTAGTATTTGCATTAAACTTATACACATTCTGCTGTATACTTTGAGTCATCTCTAGATTACTTATAATACCTAACACAATGAAAATACTACGCAAATAGTTGTTATACTGTATTATTCGGGGAATAATGAAAAGGAAAAATAGTCTATACATATTCAGTACAAATGCAGTTTTTATTTTCAAATATTTTTGACCCGCAGTTAGTTGAATCCACAGATATACAGCTCATGGATATGAAGAGCCGACTATATTTTTAAATGCCCACAATTATCAACAGCATGTATTTACTATGAAAAAGATCATATTAGCAGAAAATTTTACAAATTGTTCATTTCAAACCAGATTAAGCTATACTCATCCAAACAAATTCCCCCATCATTTTTTAAATAAGGAAATTCCATTAAAACATCAGTGTTGAAAAGTAAACACCCACAAAGCTAGGAGTTAAGAAACCGCAAATATCTAGTCATATGAATAACCTAGGGAAATACTAAGAATTGTATTTGGTTTTTAGCTAATATCTGCTGCTTGGCTTTAACCTCAGGCCATAATACCTACTTTAATATAATTTCTGGCATCCTAGATCTTTTACATAACCAATGATTATGCCATTGTATAGTCAGCCACCACATCTCATTAAAATAACAATAGTAATTTTAAAAAGGAGGGGGAGGAGTACATAACCTGGATTTACTCTTATTATCTTAACATTCACTTTAAAGTACAGGTAAATATTCTGAATGTAACCAGGAGTGAAAATCTTTTAATATACTTTTTTTTTTTCCTTTTTGTCTTTTTTCGTGTCTGGCAACGGACCGCAACCCTCAGTGTTGCGCCCGTACCGGACCGGGACCGGCAACGGGATCGCAACCCTCGGTGCTGCGCCCGCCCCTCGCTCAGCCAGTGAGCGGGAACCGGTCTGTATGTGGGATCCGAATCCTCGGCGGGAGCACCACCGCGCTCTCAAGCAGCGCACTGTAGCAGTGTGCCACCGGGCCGGCCCCCTTAATATACTTTATATGCTGAAATTCTGTCAGTCAGTAGAAACAATAACTAACGATGCCCATGAAAGCTATTAACTTCATATGTAAAATTATTAAAAATTCTCAAATAGTGAGATAAATAGGTACAGACTAATGGTTAATGTATTAAGAAAGAGTAGACTGTCCAAACAAGTTTATTAAAAATATTAAATCCCCTTTGAGCCAACAAATATTTATACAAATCTAAATAACAGCAGGCAGAACAAAAAAAGTTTAAATTAAATCAAAATTATAATCACCATAGAATTATTTAGTGTACCGAAACGCATACCTTTAGATAAAATAACTTTTAAGAACAATATTTCAATCCATTTAGGCCATGAGGTTGTCAAGAAAGAGTTGTTTAGGAATTCTTCACATCCCTTGAGGATGAATTAAAAGCAGACTATCAATTTTGGTAAACCAAAATTTTAAGGGAAGAAAACACTTCAAAATAGCATAATAGACATCATGCTAATAGACATCAGTCCAGATATAATAAAATACATAAACAATATGAAGAAAATAAAAATTATGAGCCCCAAACAAATGTTATTCTTACTAAGCAAACTCCAAGAAAAGATTTTACAATGCTTTAGGAAGACAATCCCTATAGATTTGTGTCGATGCAATTAAAAATTTAAACAAAAACCTGTTGAAATAATTGTTAGATTCCATTTCCAGTATTTGAAGATAAAAGATGTGTAAAATTTGCAAAAAATATAAATCCCAGTCAAAAAAATTTTTTTTAGAGACTATTCTTCTGTAAAACTTTTTCAAGAGATGTAATCTACAGTGCACAAAATGGTAAGTGATATCATTAAATATACCTCTGCATCTTATACATTGGATATTTGGACAGAAGTCTTTTTAAGTATGATAGCACAGTAAGCTGATGATTAATTTAACTGTTTCAGCCCCATTTTCTGCAGACATTTTTGAGTCTCACAGCAAACAATACAGTCAATCTGACTGGAGAAATAATTTTTAGGATGAAAATCCATTTTTAAAAAGTGTTACGCAACTGTCATTGACAAAGGATCAGACATGATGAAGACCATGAGCAATGTAGGACTTTCAAGTATACAATGTTTTGTTTAGTTGTGTGTATAGAAAATGGATGTAGCAAAACATAATGTAGAGAATCACTGGTTCTAATAGGACAGCAGGCCACTTTCATAATTCTTCTTTAGCTAAAGATAAATTTTATGACATATAAGAGATTTTGGAATTAATTTATCAGGATATTTAAAAACACAATAGCAGCTCTTACATGTTAAAAAGGTTGACTGAACACATGAAAGTACAGTTGACCCCTGAACAATGTAGGGGTTAGGGGTACTGACTACCCCCCAATTCCTGCAGTCCTAAATCCGACTATAACTTTTGACTCTGTCTCTTAATGTTTTGAAGTTGTTACTTAAGTAGCAGTTAGGCAGTTAAGTAATTACTACTTAACTACTTAAAGTTAACTACTAATAGCCTACTATTCATGCATTCACTACATACCTAAACTTTTCCAATTATTTACTGAAGAAAATCTGCATATAAGTGGACCCATGCAGTTCAAATGTTCCCTGTAGTTTATTTGCAGAAAGCTGCTGAAGAACGGGGCTGGCCTGTTAGTTCAGTTGGTTAGAGCACAGTGTAAACAACACCAAAGTCAAAGTTCAGATCCCCAGACCAGCTGGCCTCCAATTAAAAAAAAAAAAAAAAAAAGCAGTTGTAAAAAACTACCCAAACATATATGCCAGAGTGCAAGTGTGTTTTTACATGATACCTGCTGTAGAAATCATATCATCTACTCTAGAGAAGATGCTAAAATACTGTGCATGTGATATAAGCTGAGATGCAGATGAAAATCCAGAGATAATTTTGTTATCTTGAAAGCCAAGCACATTGCTTGTCATGTTTTAAATACAAGGTATAAGAACAGATTTTTCCTAAGTGATAGAGCGAAGCAGTAAATAAAAGAAACTATTAGAATAAAAACTGTGTACAGGGGCCGGCCCACGGCTCACTCGGGAGAGTGTGGTGCTGATAACACCAAGGCCACGGGTTCGGATCCTATATAGGGATGGCCGGTTGGCTCACTAGCTGAGCGTGGTGTTGACAACACCAAGCCAAGGGTTGAGATCCCCTTACCGGTCATCTTTTTAAAACAAACAAACAAACAAACAAACAAACTGTGTACAGTCAGAAATCTGTTTCTGAAAATACTCACAAAGCATCTTCTTCAATCAGTACACAAAGCTTTACCTTGTGGGACCACTTTCAAAAAACTGCATTATAACTACTGCTCCAACCTTCAAGTCCAGAAATTCAAGAGGAGGTAGGTCGTCTAGTTACTATCATACAGGAAAACTTAATAGCATTAGCAGTACCTTGTACTATGGAGCTAGGTAAAAAAATTTCTTCATCAATCTTATTTGAAAGGCAACATCTACTGAATACTGCAAAAACGCAGTATAGTAACCATAAGAGCAAGATAGCAATAGACTGAAGTTATTTTTCCTGTATTATAACAATAATAAAACTGTAATAATATTTTATGATTTTAAATAAATCTGACTTACTCTTGTTTCTTAGAAGTTTATTCTATGATAATGATATTTATCTTAGGTCTTAACTGAATTTAACACTTGCTATTAAGTCAACCAAAATGTGTATCTGGTGCATTCCAACCTCCATATGAATGCTATATCGAGAAAATTAATTTTCCTGATAGCCAAATATATCCAACATAAAATTAAAACCCACCAGTACAAAGAAATAGCAATTATAATAACAAGGATGTATCATTTGTTGTTACTCTCAAGACTGGCAATAATTCTTAACCATAAAATTCTGTGCAGAGGGTATGGTAAGATGGTCATTTTCATATGTTGCTGCTGCTTTTAAAAGGCAATTTAATGATCTGCATCAAATACTACATAGTTTGGAATCAATAATTTCTCTTCTAGGAATCTACATACAGTCAAAGAGGTGGTTAAAAATGTACAAGATTATAACCTTTGCATTATTTACAGAAGCAAAAAAATGTAATAATAAGAGAATGGTTAAATAAATTCTATGATGAAATATTAAGCAGCTGTTGAAAAGTGTGTATATGTTTATGTATAAGTGAAGACTACAATGAATTCATTAGAATATTAACCATATTACCCATATTACCCTTTGGTGATGGAATTGTTAGTGCTTTCCCTATAGTTTATGGTTATATGTACAGCTCCAAATTTTTCACAAAGAGCACATATTATTTTATAATAAAAACATAAAAAAATGTATTTTAAAATATAGCCATTTAAATAGTCAACTGTACTTGACATGAAAATTCAAAACATATTTAAAAGATTTCTGATATCACTATTACCCTACAATGGTTTGTAGAATTGTTCGAATTTTGAAATCTGGGAACACCATACACAGAACTGATTTATAATTCAATGAACACAGAAATAATCAAGTAAGGGTATGGAATAAACAATAAGTCAATCACCTGCTTTGTATCCATCTCTCTATTCACAAAAGTGCAAAGATGATGATAGGTAGAACTAGTGGTGTTAACTGCAGAAATTCTCTTTGCTTCAAGGTTCTGAAAAATGAAACATGAAAACAGATAGGTTAAAAGCATTAATTGTCATTTAAAGCTGAATCCAGTACCCCCCAAAATTTAGCATTTTAATCAGTTCTCCTCATCTGAGATAAGCTAAAAATCTGTTCATACTGAAATAAATCTCTTTTTTTCAGAGTTAAATTATATCAAAATTTAACAAAATTAGCAGATTCACAAGTACTTCAAAACATCTTCCAGATGTCTTTAATGTAATTAGTGTCTTTTATTCATCTCAGTTTCTAAGTTTTTCAGAGAGACATTTCATCTTTAAATCTCCTGAATATAAAAGTGCTTACAGGGCATGTCAAATCAAATTATAAGTACTTCACTATATTTATAGGAAAATAGCATGCAGTATTATGTCTTATTCTATATCTAACCACAAAAGTTGTACTGTAGTTCATTCTAGCCTTACTTCTTTTCTCAATGTTTAACGATGTGTTTTGAGGTTTGGTCCTAAAACACTAGTCAATATTTAAATTACACTTTTTCTAGAACAAAACAACTTTCACGAGGATGAAAGTAAACCACTTTTCCTACTCCATTTCCTATATTTTGTCATAAAAGCAGATTCAGTCCATCACAATTTATTATGCACTGATGTATAATTAAAACAACTAAACAAGGAATTTCTTAAGTCCCCACTATGTGTTAAACATTATGCTAGGCATTGTGAATATTAAAAAGTAAAATAATGGCCCCTGCCTTCAAGGAGCTCAAAGTAACAGTTCTAATAACTAGAATTTCTAGTAATTAGACATGAACTAAATAATAAAACATACATTTTATATATAACATGATGAAAGAAATATTCACAAAGAAATGCTAACATTTCTGTTGAGTCTCTTCTGTACTGTATACTAGATGTGAAACCTTAACGTTCCTTAACTTCTTAGTCCCTTAGCTTTCTCAAGAAAAGTAGGTACATAGCTATGTCTATATCATGTTATCATTCTGACAATTATTGTGGGAATCAATTAATGTATTAGAAAGCACTTATAAAATTGCAAAGTGGTAACACTGATATCTTAAATTCAACACAACCTTGGAAGAAAGTTTAAATGATAGGATTAGAATTAATCAAAGATTTGGCTTTAATGTTAGAGTGTGGAAAGATGAGAAGGACTCAAAAAGCAAAGAAGAAACAGTAAGAAAATAAGAATAAAGAAGGCAAGAAGGTTGGATTAAGGAAAACCAACTGAAAATGAAGTCTGACTAGTGCAGAGTAGTTTAAAAACTACTCTGCTGTTGTCTTGGCCCCACATCAAACCAATTAAAATTAGAATCTTTGGAGAAGGAGCCTGGCACTAATATTTTTAAAAAGCCCCCCAGGTGACCAATGTACAGCCATTACATTCTCATCAAATACCAGTAATTCCAGAATAAAGGCAATTATGTATATTGAATTTGGGATTGCCCCCAAAATTGGGGTCACAGTTCGAGATTTAAATTACTAGTAATCCTTACCAATTATAACATGATTTCCAGTGAATTTCACTTAAGTGTTTATTCAAGTCAGTCCGTAGGCTGGCAGAATTGAGATGAACTGTTGATGATTTAAAATCATTCAGTTCTACTTCCTAATGTGTTCTCTCTAGCTTCTGCCCTTATCTACCCAGATACAGGCCAAAACCAGCACTTTCATGCAGTAAAGAAAAAGAAAAATGTCATCCAACTAATGGAAGAAGTCTCATGACTATAAATGAAACAAAGGCAATTTCTCCTGCATCTGGTAAACTATCTTGGAAGGCATTGCAAAAAAGACAAAGTAATGTTTCTAAAATGTATAATATACTAGGGCCAGCCCATGGCTCACTTGGGAGAGCGTGGTGCTGATAACACCAAGGCCAAGGGTTCAGATCCCTATATAGGGATGGCCGGTTTGCCTCACTTGGGAGAGCATGGTGCTGACAACACCAGGTCAAGGCTTAAGATCCCCTTACCGGTCATCTTTAAAAAAAAAAAAAAATGTAAAACATACTATGTAAGATGTTAGAGATATGAGAAATCTTTATGGGGGTTTTCAATACAAGCTTTATCTTTTAACAGTCCTACGAAAAGATTATGGTTGTTTACATTTATAGACTCTGGTGTCTGAATAGTTTACTTGAACAGTGAGAGTGAACCCTGAGGCAGTATTCATGGGAAGCTAAGTGTCACAGTAGAAAGTTCATCAGCTTTATAGAGTCAGACAGACCTTGATATAAACTCTAGTTCTCTCATTTATGTATTAAATGACTGGTCAGGCTACTTAACCTGTGACTTTCAGTTTTCCTCACTTATGAAATGGGGATAATATTTACCTTGCAGTGTTATTGTGGTGATTAAATGAGATATGAATAAAAAACCCAGTACAACTAAAATCTAATAAATATGCAATAAGTATCCATTCTTTTTACCATGTAAAGAGCTCTCTAATAAGGGACGGCCCAGTGGCGCACTGCTACAGTGCACCGTTTGGGAGCGCGGTGGCGCTCCCGCCGAGGGTTCAGATCCCACATACAGACCGGTTCCTGCTCACTGGCTGAACGAAGTGCGGGCACGGCGCCGAGGGTTGCGATCCGTTGCCGGACACGAAAAAAAGACAAAAAGGGAGAAAAAAAAAAAAAAAAAGAGCTCTCTAATAAGATTTTAGTTCACAAAAATAATGTTATTTTCTTGGATTATTTAAGGAAAAACCTTCTTGGTTTGAGAAGACTAAATAGTCTAGATTCATTTTCCCAGGCTTTTCAGCATTCATATTTTTATCTGCTTGGAGGAATTGTGATACAGATGCACCAACATCCTGTGTATATGACACAAGGTCCTTACATGGACCACTTCCCTGATCCCCAAATACCCCACAACCTAGCCTTTCCCAGACCAAAATCCTTTTCCTCCCTCCCATGCCAAACATTCAGCATATTCAGACATACTGCTCTTTCCCAAACACCTTTATAGGCTTGGGTAATGAACCTCTTTCTAAAACAATGTTTTTTAGTCAAATAAGAATATAATCGAGTCAGTGAAAGGAAACCAGTGGTGCAGGAGGGTTCTCACTCAAAAAGCCTCTTGTGGGGACTCAAGATGGCGACAGGTCTGGAGCGGCCGTGCCAGGAGACAGCGCGACCCTGAGAAGTGTACGCTGTGACCAGAGTACTATTTGCATTTACAAGAGCAACAAAAAACGAATAAATCTTTGAACAACTAACCTAAAACGATGAAAAAGCAACTACAGATTCGAGGTTTTGGGGCCGTCACAAAAGAAGATTCCTGAGAGTGCCCAAGCCGTGCTGCGGGGTCCAGCAAGCAGCCTGAGACAACAAAGGCCAAGTAAGTCAGCAGAGACGAC